CATATCCAGATAGGTGCGTGAGTGATTGCTTTCAAATTCCAAATCTGGCTAAGTAATTTTGATTTTCTATAGCTTGACATAAACTTGTAACTGATGGAAAATTTGAAAGTTCAGGTTTATGTATTGTTACACTACGGTGACGTCAGTATTCAGTCTGGGACTCTCTTGAGACAAGAACGAAACGCTGCTACAATATGATTACTGCACAAAACCCATTTGCCTCCAAAACTTTGTAAAGCTGCAACTTGTAGTTTTTGGTTGTTGTCAAATATGATTCGTCTAACAGAGCAATATACTCGTGGTGCCCACTCGTGCAGAGCAAGTGTATCACAAGGATCAAACTGCAGATTGAATGTCAGTCATTTGTAAGCTATCGTCTTGCGAGTGGATTGTAACAGGCAATCGCAATCCGGACTCGGATTTATGTTGAAGCCACTCACTACCAACTCGGTTACTGGGACCGTAGGTGAAATAAAATGAGTGCCTCAGGTTAAAATCCTAACGCAGCATGTTTCGTTGTGGAAAGTCTCATTGATAACTCTACTGAGGAGGAATAGTCTGTTACTAACTTTCTGCACATTCCTGATTCGAATGGTTATTCTACTCTTTCTACCTAACCAGAGTAAAATATAAGGTACCGGTAGAGGAGACTAGTGCTGCATGCAGGGGACCTGTTAATAAAATCGAATTGCGGGGTGCGACCTCTACGCGTCTATGCGCTGGTGAATAAAACTGACCAACCTGAATGTTCGAGTTTCAACTTTGAAATTGTGATCTGGCGCAGGTTTGTGTGGCGTTCGGGTTGGATATGCTAGGTTAAAACGCGGCATACATAAGTACGTTTGTAGCTCTGGAATGCAGGATCATTCGAATTATGCTCGGTCTGTTACCAATTCTTATTTTCCTGATCAAACCCACGCTGGAGTGTAGTAAAATCTAAAAAAGAACATTTTTAATCATTTTGTTAATTATATTAGTAGGGTGTATCCCGTGGACTTCCACACCGATTAGCAAGTTGGTACAACTCAGTTCACTCAGTCAGGAGCATTCACACATTCAAGACTAACAAAATGCCGATCGAATTGATCGGATGAGATATACATCCACCTTCTAGACAAAGAGCTAGATGACAAGGTAGTATACTACTCCAAATAAATGAACACTTACCGCTCGCGTAGCACTAAGCACGGACACTCAGTTTTGGTCTTCAGGAGTTAACAGAGGCAGAAACATTGATTTATTTGGAGTTCGATCTATGCTAAATTCACTATGCTAGGATCAACAAGATTTTATGTGGTATCACGCTATGACGGATTCTTGTGAAGGACAACACATCTTCTATAATCAGGTCCGAATGTTTCTGCCGCTATTCCGGGTTTCCACATTTTCCCAGTTATCGTCGTAGTGGGGCTCAAACTTGCATAATGTGCCATCATAACAGGTATTCCTGTGTGATTTGGGTCATCTGCTCAAATAGTCGCCTGTTGTAAATCAAACAAAGCACCTGGTGCAAGTTAGTTTTGAACCTGTAGTGAAGACAATGGAACAATGGATTTATGCGGGTATAAAAGCTAAAGCTTGACAAATCCCGTAGGGTGATCAGTGCGAAAATCATAGAAGTGTGGAAAATTCAATGGAAACCAATTCAGTAAAATCGTTTAACAACGAGTCACTACAAGCTTGTGGACTCACCGAGTTTGAAGTGTCAAAATAATAATCCACTATAACTCGGAGGGAATCATGAGGCATGGAGTATTTGGTTAAAAGAGTCACTGCCCCTTGAAATTCGCATGGCGCAAAGTGTTTGAGTTTGAAGCGTCCAAATATACATCCACTGTTGAAATTTGCGTGGGGGAAAATTATTTTTAAAGTATGGATTTTGGATCTCTCAAAACTAGACTGTACTATGGGAGATAGTGCAATGAAGTGAGGGCATTATCAACTCGATTTTTGAACTCGATCAGGTTGGGTGCACTGACTACAGATTCCGGGAGAGCATTCCAGGCTTGGCAAACACGCACGGAAAAGAAATTCCGTCGACATTCCAAACGGCTGTACTGCACTGCCAGCTTCAGATGATGGCCTCTCAGGTTGTTGTTGTTACTGAGCTCCAGCAGATGGCGGCAGGTATGATTGGGGTCTGTCAGAATCTGATAAGCCAAAATCAAATCTCCCCGTAGTCTTCGATATTGACCACTAAATATCCTGAGCGATCTCAGCCTGTCTTCGTAGCGTAACTGGCCTAAACCTTTCACGTTCTTCGTTGCGCGTCGTTGAGGTTTCTCTAAGTCAGAGAGGTCTTTCCTCAGCCACGGCTGCCAGACTTGTATTGCATACTCCCCGTGTGGTCGTATGTATGCACCTAGAAGTTGGTGAAAAACGGATGGGTCGAAGCGTCCAAATGTGCGCCGGAGAAGGCCCAAATTTCGAATGCTCACGTTCGATGCTTTCTTTGCCTGGGCTGAACAACCAAGGTCGGACTGAATCAAGACTCCTAAATCCGTTTCTTTAGCAGTTGTTTGAAGCACATGGTCACCCAGTTTATAGAAAAATGCTGATTGGTGACGTAAGTGTAATACTCTGCATTTTTCTGTGTTGAATGGGAGTTGGTTCTGAACTGACCACGCATACACCTTATCCAGATCCTCTTGAAGTATTGTGGAGTCGTCGGGTGTATTGATCGCTCTCCAGACCTTGATGTCGTCGGCATAGAGTAGGCAGTTGGAAAGAATGAGGGCCGCTATGTCGTCAATATACATCAAAAACAATCGTGGCCCTAGTACCGATCCTTGTGGTACACCACATTCGACTTGGATTGGATGGGACCGGGACCCACGCACTTTTACCTCTAAGCTCCGGTGGAGAAGAAAGCTTGTGATCCATCCTAGGAGCGGATCACCAATGCCGAAGCTCTGAAGTTTGCAGATCAGGATTCCGTGGTCTAGTCGATCGAAGGCCTTTGAGAAATCTAGGTAGACCACGTCCACTCCTGCACCGCTGTCAATTAATTTGGTCCAACTCGATCTTGCTAGCATCAGATTTGTGGTGCACGATCGATTCCGTCGAAAACCATGCTGTTCATGTGCAAGGAAGGCAGACTCTTCTAGATAGGCTGTTAGTACGTCAGCAACAATAACTTCCATAACCTTCGACAGGACCGGGAGAAGGGTTACAGGACGGTAGTTGGCTGGATCAGAACGGCTACCGCCCTTGTGAATTGGGGTTATGATCCCACATTTCCACATCTCGGGTACATACATCTGATCGAAGCAGCGTTGGAAGAATCGTGCCAGGGGCTCCGCTAAACTTTCTCCCATTACCGCAAGGGACTTAGGGTGAATGTTGTCGATTCCAGGAGAGCTGTGCTTACGCATACACAACAACTTCTTTAATACCATCCCCGCCGTGAAAGTTATGTGCGTAAGTTTTGGTTGTAAAACAGCTGCTGACAAAGGAACAGATGAAGAAGACCAGTTCTGTAAGACTGATAGATCTAGTGGAAAGCTTATGTCCGGCACAGTATACAGATATGTTGCTGAGCCAAGTGTTCTGACAGAGGAACTTAGTTGTGTTCCCATCTAAGGTTGGGCAAATTGGGTTTATTGCCAACCAGTTGCAACCACGAATTTTCCAACAAAATCTAACCTCAGCTTACATCAGCCACCGCGCAGTTACAAACGGATCAGTTCACCTGCCACATAGATCATGGAGAGAAAGCTCAAATACGCTGGTTCTGGTACCTTGCTTCTTTATCTGCTTGTTTTACCTACACCTATGTCGATCCCAGCTACTGACTTCTTTTCCATAGCACAAAAAGTTAGTGATGACGATTACTGTTCTACTGAATCCATGCCTTCTCTGCCCATGTTTCCACTGCACTCAGTAATACCATGCTTTCAAAAGTGACCACCAGGTCACCCATCTTTGCTTCTCCATCGATGGCTAATGCTCATTTCCAAACAGTAATTAGTAGACTGCACTTGCACGTACACTTGATTCCCTTGGAGTTTTTGGGTTTCGGAGGTCCGAAAGCAAGACTCATCTTTTCTCACCTAATACAGAACTCGCTGCACATAGTGTGTCCTTTCGCTGTTAGTCGCACGCATCCGGTGATTTGGGTGTGGCGGGGATACATCAAATCATGTTGACTACCAATCTAAAAATGTAATGTGTTACGCGTGCCCCATACTTTTCTAGTTTCAAAATGAACTTATTGCTAAACAATTTATTCAAAAGCGCAATCTCATTGTGCTTAATACGACTCTTAAAAATCTGAAGATTATGGAGGATAAAACCCCGCTACAACGAGAGAGAAGGAGAACGTCTGGGGTAAAACAGAATACCTAACAGCCATATGGCGCCCCGCATCCAGTTAATATTGCTCTAATTAGTGGTCACTACAAATGTGAGAATAATACTCCGCT